AAATCTATGGAATTCAACTCTGGAGCAAAGTGGCAAGGTACAGAATCCTCTGAGTCGATAAACCTTCAAATAATGAACTCTACAGAGGTCAATGATGGCCCAAAATTTCAGGTTGCAAAACCCTCTGAGTTGGCCTTGGAATCAGAGGTTCACAGTGTGATATCTCCTGAGTTCAATGCTGGAAAGCAGTGGCAAGATGAGAAATCTTGTAAGTTAAATCCATGGCCAGAGCTTCAAAGTGTCAAATTTATGGTGTCCAACCCTGAGCCATATTTGCAGGGTGTGAACTCTTCTGAATTAACTTCAGTTTCAAAACATCAAGGTATGAAGTCTTCTGAATTGAATCCAGAGATTCAAAGTGAGACATCTATGGTGTTCAACCCTGGACCACATTGGCAAGGTTTGAAATCTAAATTGATTACTGGGTCAAAGTTCCTAGACATAGCACCTTTGGAATGCAACCCTAGGCTACAGATGCAGTGTGAAAATTCTTGTGAGTTGAATACAGGGACAAAATTACAATGTGTAAATTCTACTAGATGTAACTGTGGGCCACCCTTGCAAGGTGTAAAATCTTTTGAATTGACTTCAGATATAATGACAACAGAGTTCAACTCTGGCCCAAAGCTACAAGGTGTGAATTCTTCTGAATTGAAATCAGGGTCAGAACTTCAATGCATGAACTCTATAAAGTTTAATCCAGGGCCACAGATACAAGGCATGAAGCCTTCTGAATTGAACCCTGGGCCAGAATCTCAAGGCACAAAGTCTATTTTATTTAATCCTAGATCACATTTGCAAGGTGTAAAATCTTCTAAATTAACTCCAGGGATAAAGTTTCCAGAAGGCCAAGTTTTGCAGAACCACCTTGGGTCACAGCAACAAGCTGGACACTCTGTTTTGGATCCTCAGTTAAATGGTACAAAATCTGTGTTATATGAATCAGAGCCACTGTTTGAAGATACAAAGTCTGTGAAGATGAACAAAGAGCCATTGCTTTGTGGTGCAAATTCTGTGAACTTGATTTCAGGCTCTGAGATGCAGGACTTAAAATGTGAGGTGTTTGCCCTAGAATCATGTTTTCAAAAAGTGAAATCTGTGGAGTTAAATCCACAGTCAAATACTGAAGTGAAATCTGCAGAATTAACCTCACAGCCAACATCTCCATTTGAGGATCCTACAGTGTTGACTCATGAACGAGGGCATCAGGCTGTGAAATCTATGGGGATAAAAATAAGGCCTCCTCAAGTTATAGAATCTGAGGATTTGAATTTAAGACAGGTATATCAGAAGGGGGAATCTGAGGAGTTAACATCAGGAGAAGAGTTACAAATAAGGAATTATTTCTCTAGGCTTCTACACAACTCTTCAAACTCAGTCATCTCAAGTTCTGCCAAAACAACATCTGAATTAGGTCTTTGGGATTCTGAGATGACAGAAGTATCAAGAGCGTTGGATATAAAAAACCTTTGGACAGATATTTTGCAGCCTAAAGAGTCCTTTATAGATCCTGCTTCAACTTTCCCCTTTTTCTTTCATAACCAACTCTCTGAGAAGACAACTAACACTGTAGAAACCTCCCATTCTGAGATGCCATGGGTGTATAACGTATTTCAGGAAAGGATTCAACCGAGGCAGGTAGCAGAGTTAGAGAACTCACTCCAGGGCCTCTCCCAACATCCACCACAAAGCTGGAGATCACCATCTAAGACCTTCCAGGCAGGATCAGGGGCTCGAAGAGGATTAACCTGGTCTGTCCTGGGAAGACAACAGAATGTCTGGGAGAGTCACTCCTGGAAGCAGAGACTACCTAGAAAGTATCTCTCCAATATGCTAATGTTGGGGAATGTCTTGGGAACCACTATGGGAAGGAAGCTTTGTTCTCAAACATCTTTAACAGAAAGGTCTACTGCTGATACCTGCCAGTCTATTCAGAATTTATTTGGGGTTCCTGCTGAATTGATGGAATTTTCCCAGAGTCTGCTAGAGACAGGTCGAGGCACTATTTTTCAGGCTTCAATGGTCAAAAACTACATTCAGAGACATACTTCATGCCATGGTCATGAGAAAAGAATGGCCTTAAGGGTATGGACACGTGGTTCTATGTCCTCCATAATACAGCAATACTCTGGCACTAGAGTGAGAATAAAGAAAACAAACTCAAAGCTCAATGATATACCCCAGGAAGTCATTCAGCACAGTTCTGTTTCATATACAGAGGGTCAGCTTCCTGACCCAGTAGAGTCAGAGTCTTCCTTCAATATATTTTTCACTGTGAAAGATCCTGTTCCAGTGGAAGAGAGTGAGAACTCACAGAGAGATTCACAGACAAGGATTTTTGAGTCCCAACACCCACTGGAGCCAAGTTTTCTTTCCCAGGCCCAGGCTGACCTCTCAGAACAGTTCCAATTGCTAAAAGATCTGCAGCTAAAAATAGCAGCAAAACTGTTAAGGAGTCAAATACCTCACAATGTACCTCCACCTCTCACTTCAGGTCTGGTCCTAAAATACCCTATCTGCCTACAGTGTGGCCGATGTTCAGGATTTAATTGTCATAAATTACAGACTACTTTTGGACCTTATCTTCTTATCTACCCACAGCTCCACCTCGTAAGCACTCCTGAAGGCCATGGAGAGATTAGATTGCGTCTTGGCTTTAGGTTACGAATTGGAAAAAGATCCCAAGTTCCAAAGTATTATAGAAGAGACAGACCCTTGACGCCTAGGAGCCCTAGATCAGCAGCTAAAATCTGTAATCAAGCTTCCAAGAGTCCTGCTTCTACCATAGATTTCCTGTCTCAGTCTTCCCAGTCTCCTGCTTCTGTACAAGTCCACATTAGCCCTGACCTAGAAGGACAGACAGATATTAGAGAGCCTGGGCACTATGAATTCACTGAAGTTCACTCGTTATCAGAGAGTGACTCTGAAAGCAATCAGGATGAAGAGTGGACTAAAGTGAGAAGCAAAAATACCCATGATTCAAAAAATCCAATGGAAAGAATCAACAAGAGATTTAGAACACAAAACAAAAAGTCCTACACAAACAGTAGAACCATAATGCAGAATCTCTCTAGGAAATTGCCATCCCAGTTGAAAGGGAAAAGGAATGGAGCATCTCAGGCAGCTACTGCCTCTTTAAAAAGGCACCCCAAGAAATTCTCCCAACCCAAATTCATTAAACTGCTTTTTCAGGGACTAAGAAAGGCATTCCAAACCGCACGCAGAATTATGGCATTTGTTGGGCCAAAGCCTGAGGACAGGACAAGGGCGGACCATTTGTGGTCGAGGGAAAACTGCCAACCAGAACAAAAAGCCTCTGACGATAGTTCACAAGGAGATAGCGAAAGAGACAGGATGCCAGTTGTCAAGCTAAAGCCAACAGACCCAACCACTGAACAGGAGAGCATGCCCTGGGAAGAATTAGAACAGTTCTGCTCAGCACAACCACCAAAAACAGATAGCTCTTTCCAATCCACACCTTCCCCACTGCCCAGGTGCGGAGTTTCCCAAAGAAGTATCACCACAATCAGACACCCTTTGGGTACAGTTCAGAATGAGAGTGGCAGCAGGCCTAAGGAAAACTGGTACAGAAAAGAAATCTCTAGCCCAGAGTCCCAGGACTCCAAAAGAGGAATCCGTGAGAGTGGCAGCAGGCCTAAGGAAAACTGGTACAGAAGAGAAATCTCTAGCCCAGAGTCCCAAAGAGGAATCCCAGTTCAGGCCCAAGGGAGACTCCTACATGGAACCCCTAAGAAGAGAACCTCCTACAGTCACTTTAAAGAGATACTCATGCCTAGGAAACCAAACCACCACAGCTTCCATAGGGAAAGAGCCCCATGTAATTTCTCTGACAGGAGCCATAGCAGTCCCTCTCCGAGGAGACATCGCAATCCCTCTGGGAGAAGCCATCGCAGTCTGCCTCGGAGGAGACATCACAGTCCCTCTGGGAGGAGCCATCTCAGTCCACCTGGGAGGAGACATCGCAGTCTCTCTGGGAGGAGCCATCGCAGTCTGTCTCGGAGGAGACATCGCAGTCCCTCTGGGAGGAGCCATCACAGTCCCTCTGGGAGGAGCCATCTCAGTCCACCTGGGAGGAGACATCGCAATCTCTCTAGGAGGAGCCATCGCAGTCCCTCTGGGAGGAGCCATCTCAGTCCACCTCGGAGGAGCCATCACAGTCTCTCTGGGAGGAGCCATCCCAGTCCCTCTCGGAGGAGCCATCACAGTCCTTCTGTGAGGAGACATCTCAGTCCACCTCGGAGGAGCCATCGCAGTCCCTCTGGGAGGAGCCATCGCAGTCCACCTCAGAGGAGCCATCAAAGTTCTTTTCAGATGAGCCATCCGAGCTCCTTTGAGCGGAAATGCCGCAGTCCCTCCGAGCGGAGATGCCGCAGACTCTCTGCGAGGAGAAACCACAGCCCCTTTGAGAGGAGAGGACATAGTCATGCCGAGAGGGGCAGACACAGTCCATCTGAGAAAACCCAGGGGAGGCCCTCGGAGAGAACTCACAGTCGCCCCAAGGAGAGACTCAGACACAGCTCACGTTGGGAGAGGCCCAGACATACTTTTTCTAAAGATTTCATGAGAGACTCAAATATCTTCTAGGGATCACACACAAAAAAGCCCCTCCAAGGAGGGCAAGTTTGGAGCCCTGAAGGAAGCAGATGAGATGTCCGCCCCCATTATTCATTTATTCCCTCATGTCTTCACCAAGCTCGCCTTTCCGGGCTTCTTTCCTGCTCAGCCAACTGACCCCAATACTTGCATCCTCAGCAATGAACGACCCTATGCCTCTCTCCCTGGGGGCTGGGCCGGCGGGAATGGGTCTGCAATTTCCGATAAATAAAGGGGCAATAATTAACCTCCTGTGCATTCTAGAAAGACCACTCGTCGTGCTGGGAATGGAGGGTGGACATGACGGAGAGGGAGGGGGTCCTGAGGCCAGGGTACGGCTCCACTGCTCCCCTGGGTTCCACCACGGAGTCCTGGGGCGGGGTCTCCGAGGCATTGGCGAGCGGCTCGTCACGTGACCCGCGGCGGCGGCGGCAGAAGCCCCCTCGGAAGCCGCCCGGCGGAAGTGGGCGTGCGGGCCGGAGTCGCGCGGCGCGGACTGCGCAGGCTCCACATCCGGGAGAGGCGAGGCGAGCAGAAGTGGCGTTGGTCTGGCTGGAGCCCCGGGGTGAATTTGTTAGGCGCGGAGAGGGAGTGATGTCTTCCAGGCTCGGTGCAGGACCCGCCGTGAGTTTCCCGGTTTGGCCGTTATGCTTCCGCGGGAGCGCTGTGGAGCCCGCGGCACGCGGGCCTCGCTTTTGTCCCGAGCTCACCGTTGGTTTTCTCCGAGCCCCTCGCAGGCCCCACCCCGCTAGGTCAGAGCTACCTGTGCCCCTCTTTCTCCCCACTCCTCCGCTGCCGGTGCCTCCCCACCTTGGAGTCAGCGCGTCGCCACATTGCCATTCGTTTCTATTCTTTTTACAGAATCCAATGCCTCCCATATCCATTGTCCTCTCTTTTCTCCTCCCTTTAGAGCCTCTATCCAGACAGGGTTTTCAGAATGGGGAAGATGAAGGCTCTGGTGTTGTCACCTGCCCTAGGAAGATAGGACGGCACACTTTTCCTAAAAAAAGCCCTGCCTCCTTCGGTTTGAGGTAGCTGCCCCGGGAGAGCTTCGTGTCTTCTGGGCTCGGGGGAACTGTCTTTTCGTGGTCAAGGTCCAGAGATCCCCGGCATTCACTCATGTGCTTGCGTTTGATAGACTTCGGGACCCACATCCTTTAAGCAGCAGAGGAGCACGAGGATCGTGGGAACTAAGACGTAAGTGAGGTTTTCTGAGGTCCATTTGTAATCAGAACTATCTGTGATGATGAAAATTTTCTGTATCCGCACTGCCCGGCACTGTAGCTACTAGCCACCTAGGGCTTTTGAGCTCTTGAGATGTGGCTAGTGTGAGAAACTATTTTAAGTTGCTTTTAATTTGAATAGCCACCTGTAGCTAATGTCTTCCTGATTGGACAGGGCAGGTCTAAACCCAGAGAAAAACTTAGCTTGCAAAAGTACGAATTATAATAAAAATGGAAGGTGGGACTCAGTGTAGCTCTCCATTTATGTACTCATGGATATGTTGATGAACATAGGAAGGAATAATAAAAATGACTATAAGACATCCTTGTATTTTCAAACTGTTTGGCTTCCAGACTGGTGTATTTTGCATATTGAATGTGCTAAGCTTTTACATTTTAATGCAAAAAATAGTTAACGAGGTATTCATTGGAAGGGATTAATTCATTCAGATAACATTTACTAAATATCTATGTTCCAGACACCACTGACCTGTTTTCTGTCACTGTACAGTGGTTTGCATGTTCTAGGATTTTATATAAATTATACATTATGTTGTCTTTTTGCATGATTTCTTTCACTCAGAATAATGATTTTGAATGAAAGTTAGTTTCTAATACTGAATAGAATTCCATTATGGACAGACCATAATTTATTTAGCCATCTACCTTGATGAATATTTGAGTTATTTTCAATTTGGGGGTATTACAGTAAAGCTGCTATGAACATTCTTGTGCAAATCTCTGTGTGGAAAAATGTTTTCGTTTCGCTTGATAAATATCTGAGATGGTATTTATTGACTAGGATGGTATTTAGCATTTAAGATGGTTGGGTCATATGTCAGGAGTGTGTTTAACTTTACAAGACATTACTTGTTTTCCAAAACGGTGGTATTGTTTTACATTCCTGCCAGCAGTGTATGAGAGTAAGTCTTTAATTTTAGCTAATTTAGTGGGTATATAATATTGTTTCATTGTGTTTTTTTAAAAATTTATTTTTCAGTTACAGTTGACATACAACATTATATTAGTTTCAAGTGTACAACATAGTGCTTAGACATATAACTTACAAAGTAATCACCCTGATAAATCTAGTACCTTTTCCTTCATTTCAAATGTGTTTTATTTCATGGAGCATAGTTATAATAGTTGTTTTAAAGTTTATGATAGTTCCAACATCTAGATTATCTTGGGGTTGTCATCTCTTTATCATCTGTTTCTTTGAGAATTTGCTCACATTTTCCTGATTGTATATTGCATAATTTTGGAATTCTCAAGATTGTGAATGCTATATTTATAGACTCTGGGTTGTTTCAGAATCTTCTGGGAAATGTTAATGTTTTTATTTTAGTAGGTAACCTGTTTAGGTTCAGACCATAAGTTGTTTTGCCTTTTGAGGGCATTGGTTCAATATCAGTTCCATTCTTTGAGTCTTTGCTATGATAGTTTAGGTCTGTTTTGTACATAAATAGCTCATGGGTTAGTCTGAGACTTTTTTTTGGGAGTTTCAAAACTTGTTTTTGCTCTCAAAGCTTTTGATACATTGATTTGGGTCCATCTCACACTAGTAGCTCAGGGGTTGGTCTGAGACTTGTACATTTGTTCAAATCTTATTTCTCTTTTCTAAGCCTTTACAAAAGCTGGTGTGGGTATGCTCCAGACATACATAGCTCAGGCTAAGTTGTGATTTGTGTGGATTCATACCCAAAATTATGGGATCCTTTTTTTGCCTATCTCTTCTCTACGACTCCCCCCACCACACACACACTCTATAGGTCTCCCTCTTCCTGGTTTCTCTGGACAGAAAGGTGTAGATTCTATTGGAATTTAGACTGGCCATGATGCTCTGCAAGTGGGGTCCACCCTTGTTGCAAAGCCACAGGTGAGGGGGAAAAACTGGGAAATACACGCTCATTTTTTGACTCTTCTCCCCAACCCACGTGATTTTACTTACTTTTCAGAGTCCAGAGTTCTTAGTTATAATCAGCAGGAATGGTGGGCTTATGCCACTATGCCAGAACCAGGACTTCTTTGTATTAAATTGATAATCTTAGAGCTCTTGTGCAGAGAGCTGAAAATCATTCTGCCCTTTTTGTAACATTTGACATTATCAGTCCCTGTTATTTTTTCTTATTCCCATTTCCATCCCCTTCCTCCCAATAGACAACCATGTTAACAAGTTTGATATTTACCCTTAAATAGAGGCATGGGCAAAAGTAGGTTTACAATTGTGAGTATGCAAAATACAGAGTTTATTTTTATACTAGAGGCCCAATGCATGAAATTTGTGCAAGAGTAGGCCTTCCTTCCCCCGGCTGCCGGAACCGGCTTCCCTCTGGCACCCAGGACCCGGGCTTCCCTCTGGCCCCTTGCAGGCACCCGGGACCCTGGCTTCCCCTGCAGCCTTGGCTTTGTCTGGAAGGAAGTCCGGTCTAATTAGCATATTATGCTTTTATTATTGTAGATAATTATTTAATAATCATTATATTTTTCCATTCAAACAATTGTAAACCTACTGTTTTTTTTTTTTAGATTTTTAAATTGATATTTAGAAAGAGAGAGAAAAGGAGAGGGAGAGAGGGAGAGAGAGAAACATCAATGTGAGAGAGAGAGAGAGAGAGAGAGAGAGAGAAACATCAATGTGAGAGTGAATCATCCATCGGCTGCCTCCTGCACAGCCCCTACAAGGGATCAAGCCTAAAACTCAGGCATGTGCCTGACCAGGATGAAGCCCAATCAACTGAGCCACACCAGCCAGGGCTGTAAACCTACTTTTGCCTACTCCTGTATTTATGAATTCTTGCAAAATAGCTAGTAATATTTACATGTGTATTTTTTTAATATTTACTGAATTGACATTGTACTATAGATCTTGTTCTGTTTCTCTTTTCATTCAATAGTATGCTTTTTAGCCCTGACCGGTTTGGCTCAGTGGATAGAGCGTTGGCCTTCGGACTCAGGGGTCCCAGGTTCGATTCCAGTCAAGGGCATGTACCTTGGTTGCAGGCACATTCCCAGTGGGGCGTGTGCAGGAGGCAGCTAATTGATGTTTCTCTCTCATCGATGTTTCTAACTCTCTATCCCTCTCCCTTCCTCTCTGTAAAAAAAAATCAATAAAGTATATTTTTAAAAAATAGTATGCTTTTTAGTTATGTTCATGTCTCTGTGTGAAATGGTTTATTACTTCTATCAATTTTACTTACATAGTTTCTTAAGAATGGTCACCTGTATTTCTTCCAACTCCCTGCTCCTTAAACTTCTATCTTTAATTCTTACCAGCTATACCTCTAAAGTGTTATCTTGAATATGTCAGCTTATCTTTACTACAAAACCTTATAGTTCATGCCTTCATCATCTCATCCATACAACTTCCTTTATTCATTTTTTCTCCATGTATCATCTTCCATAGAGCATCCAGAATGACCTTTCTAAACCATAAATCTAAAGTGGCCTCACACTTAATAATAAGCCAAAGACCTTGTATGCATATGTACCTAATCCATGGATGCAGACACTGGGGCGATGAAGGCCTGGGGCAGGGGGTGGTGGTGGGCTGGGGACATATGTAATACTTTCAACAATAAAGATGGAAAATAAATAAATAAATAAAAACATTAAAAAAATTAATAAAGTGGCCTCACACCTTGACAACTGTTGTTCTCCCATATCCTGAGCCACCTAGAAGATATTTTGTAGTTAATCATTAAGTTTGTTAATGACATACTGACTTGTCTTGGATTTGGGAATTTGGGTCCAACTGTATATCAGATTTCTTAGCCAGCTTAACTAAGACAAGATGGCACCCTTCCTTTAGCTATAGGAGCTAAGTATCATGTTGCCTAAGTAAGATAGGGTAGCTCTGACAGGGTTTAGGGAGAAGGCTAAGGGAGAAGGCACATGGATCAAGCTAGGGCCTACAAACTGTTCTGTTCCTTTATTCTCAGATATATTACCTAGTTACTGACCCTCTGAGAAATAAGGAGACCTGGATATACCTGGTTACAGATTCAGGGGATCTTCTGGCCACAGAATACCCTATTACTTTAGACTGCTTTCTTTTCTTGGATGAATCTAGGAAGGAATGCCTTCTTAGGCTGCAGAGTATTCATTTATGTGAACAGCTTACTCTTTCTGGTTATAATGAAGTATAATACTAGTTGTATGTGTTGTGTTAGATCAACTGTTGTAATTGTTTGAAGATTAGAATCTAAATTGTTTTTATTATCAGACTTCTTTGTTTTTACAAAGGTAACCAAGTTGGTTATCTTCTTAATGATATAAAATAATTAATAGGAACTTTATTCCACACCCTCCTTTACGGTACATATCTTTGTGTCATATTAGTAGCAGGACCAAGTGCTCCATAAAGGATAACAGTTTCCAGTACACTATTCCTCACGATGATTCCTTCAGCGGCTCATCATCTGCCTCGTCATGTGAACCAGTAAGTGATTTTCCAGCGACCTTCCGAAAATCTACCTACTGTATGAAGATGAGAAGGATCAAGCCAGCTGCTACTCCCCATGTTGAAGGTATCATTTTCATAACTTTTTAAAAATGTTTTTATTGATTTTAGAGAGAGAGGAAGGGAGAGGGGGAGAGAGAAACATTGATGAGAGAGAAACAACAACATCATTTGGCTGCCTCCTGCCTGCCCCTTACTCGGGATCAAGCCCACAATCTGGGCATGTGCCCTGACCAGGAATCGAACCGGTGACCTCTTAGTCCGTGGGTTGACGTCCAACCACTGAGCCATACTCATTCTCTGTATCTTATTCCCAAGACAGAGCATTCTCTAAAGTTATATTTTGAGGTAGCTGCTATACGTGGCCCTTCGAGTATTAAGTACCACATACGTGTTTCTTGTTAGTGATTAATTTTTTTAAGGCTATCACATACTGTTAACTTTGGGAATGGTCTCTCTGTTTTATAGAATAAAATTTGCTGATCTTACTCCTTTAGGATATATCAATCTTTCCTCTTCATGATTTGAACCTCTTTCCCCTTGTTCTAGTTTGATCCTCTGCTGAGGGTTTAGGGGCTGGTTTTTCTTGATATTCATAATCTCAAGGGTCCTTCGTAGCCCATTATTTTGAAAACTTCTGCCTCAGTGTTACCCTCAGATCAAGATGAAACAAAGTGCCCTGCCTGGAGGCTCTTATTATCCACAGGGAGCTCTTCATCCCTTGTGATAGAGAGCAATACAAAAGGAAAGGGAGGTTAATGAAGAGCTATACCAACTTCTTTAACAATGTCACAGGCACTTCTGAGGCCTGTGCTTGCTAACGCTTTTCCCCTGGAGCGGTTCTCAACCTGTGGGTCGCAAACAATGAAAATACATCCTGCATATCAGATATTTACATTACGATTCATAACAGTAGCAAAATTACAGTTATGAAGTAGCAACGAAAATAATTTTATGGTTGGGGGTCACCACAACATGAGGAACTGTATTAAAGGGTCGTGGCATTAGGAAGGTTGAGAACCACTGCCGGAGGGTCTTGTGACTGATGTTTTGAAGGCAGGCCCAGATGTTCACTTCTAGACCCTACTTAGGTCTCGTGTGTATGATATTTCAGGGTCAGGTGGAGTATCAACCAAAGGAAAAAGGAAACCCAGGCAGGAAGAAGATGAAGATTATCGAGAATTTCCTCAGAAGAAGCATAAGCTGTATGGTAATGGAGTAACTTGGCTAGTTCTTTTTCCCTTGGGTACCTGGGCTTTACTCTTTGAGGGAGAGAGACTTTAGGGTTTGGCCCTTGAAACACTTTTGAACCCTTTGAATTTTTAGGCAAGGCATGGCTTCCATCCTGCCTTATTTTACCCCCATTTTCCTTCTGTCATGATTTAAGGAATCAGTTGGTTAAGGGACTGGGGCATAGGGTTTTGAGGAGAGGAGGGAAGAGATTTTGGTACTAGAGAAGGGTTAGCAAAGGTGATATGTTGGGCTTCAAGTTTCTGTCTTGCGTCAGGGAGGAAGCAACGGCCTAAAACTCAGCCTAATCCCAAATCCCAGGCTCGTCGTATTCGGAAGGAACCACCAGCTTATGCAGCAGGTATGCTTTCTGTTGGAAGCTTTGTGGGATCTAGTTCTCTCATTCTGATTTTTGTTGTTATTGTTGGTAAAGGAATGATGTAGAAAAGCATTTCTTTAAGAAGGCACAGGTAATAATAGCATGGGTTTGAAGGTCAGACAGACCCTTGTTCAAGTTTTGGCTCTTCATTAATTTTCTCATCTGCCTCAATTTAATTTCTGCAACCTTCAATTTCCTTGACTCTAAATAGGGATAATAAAGGCAGTCAGAACTGAGAATTAAATGGGATAAAAACATTTAACAAAGTCTCAGACATAGGAAGCACTCAGCAAACTGGCTGTTACATATCTCAGTATCCCATTATTAAATGCTGCTATGAAAAATGTTGCCTGTTGTCAGTTATATCTCAATAAAGCTGGAAAATAAATGTTGCCTAGTTCTTTAAGCCATTGGGATTTGGATGTTTCTTTGATGTTTTTTAATCATGGGGAATTGAGTAGAGGTTTCAGAAACTCCTCACTTGTCTGAAAAAAAATTATTTCTAGAAGTTATAAACAATAGGAGACTCTTCCCCAGGAAGGGGAAAAACCATTTTGTGATACTTTTCCTAAGTGCTGGAATTGTGCTTTTTGTTTCTGGAGAGTACCACAGATTATATCATGTTCTTTTATCTTCTTTGTAGGCAGTTTAGAGGAGCAATGGTACTTAGAAATTGTGGATAAAGGCAGTGTCTCTTGTCCTACCTGCCAGGCAGTGGGGAGGAAGACCATAGAGGGCTTAAAGAAACACATGGAAAACTGCAAACAGGTTAGATATTTTGTGGCATTTCATGACTGTTATATTATGATCTTTTACCCAAAGTTTAGACATCTGGCACTGTGTTGGGTATGCTGATTACCATGGAGAAGAGGCAACATTGGGTCATAGGGAAAACATAGGCTTTGGACTGTGACAGACTTGGGTTTCAATCTTTAATCAGCCACTTACTAGTTGTATCATTTAGCTTTTTATGTGTGAGACTTGGTTTCCTCATTTATAAAATAGAAATAAAATAGTTACTACTTTGGGTAGTTTATTAGAGGATAAGAAAGAAATAATACATGCTAAATTCCTACTCCATTATTTGGCAAGTATTGGCACTCAGTAAATGGTAGTTTCTGTTTTTTAAGAAATGAATTGCCTTTAATTCTTTTTCCTTGAGGATGTGACATGGAGCTTGTGGGATTTTGAGATTTATTGACTGTTGAGTTTGGGAAATAAAGAAGATACAGAGGACAGCATTTGAATAGGACTTTGTGGCATTCTTTTTCTCTGTTGAATAGTCTGGCACTGAGCAGTATTTTTTCTCTGTAGGAAATGTTTACTTGCCATCATTGTGGGAAACAACTTCGTTCACTGGCAGGGATGAAGTATCACGTCATGGCAAATCATAATAGTTTGGTAAGAGTGTCTTCTGTCCTACATGAGCCCATGTGGTGTTTGGGTGTCTTAGATGAGTATAGATAACTCAGTGGAGATGGCTAAGGCTCTGGGACTTTACAGGGGTGTGAGTAAGAAGACCCTTTCAATAGAAGACCTATGTACAATGAAACCTTTGTGGTGGATATATTGGTATTTGTGTGTTTAGGTTAGTCCCAAAGGTTCATACCCTGGGAGGTAGAGGCTTGGAACTCTAATTTCCATTACATTCACTTCCTTGTCTGTCTAGGTCTAGGAGATAGAGAAAGCCAGGAGTCAGATGACATAGGCTTCATGGGCATCAGCTTAGGTGCTAGTCTAGTCCTTGATTCTTCTACGATATAATTTTTTTCTATATCTGTCTTTTCATGAATTATCCGCTTGTTTGCTTCTCTTGCTTTCTAGCCCATTTTGAAGGCCGGAGATGAAATAGATGAGCCAAGTGAGAGGGAACGGCTCCGAACAGTTCTAAAGAGACTGGGAAAGCTTAGGTGCATGCGTGAGGTAAGAACCCAAGGACAGCACCTCCTTCTGCCTGGAGTCTTAGGTCCATGTCTACCTGTTATTCTCTTCCATTTCTCCTCCTCCTCCCTTGTAGACCTGGTTCGGTATCATCTTCCAGCATAAGAGTGGCTCCCGCTTTTCCAGGTCTCCTGAACTCATTAATAGGTCTTTATTTTCTTTCTCATCTCCAAAAAATTATTTTTTCCCTTTATACTTTGTTTGAAGGGGTTTCTTTGCCACCCTTTCTTTGGTGTGACGAAGAGATCCTAGTAACCTCACTGTGAGAAACTTTGATATTGCTGGGTATTGGATATTGGATCATAGACTAAGGAGGAAGCTCTGACACACAAGAGGTGCACAGTTCTAGTTTGTTAAATGTGGACTGAACATTGAATGTGATGCTTGGTGGTAGACAGAGCAGCCGTCGGGCCAGGGACAAGACGGGGGTGTGCCAATGGGAAATGCTGGAGAGGGTCTAGTGACATCAGAGGGTCTATTTGTGTGGAGTGGTGGTTGACTGCCTGTGGCTGTGGAGAAATTTAGAGATCATGTCAAAAGATATAAGATTATAGTTTCGGTTTCTCTCCTGTGTTCAGAGTTGCTCTAGTAGCTTCACCAGCATCATGGGATATCTGTACCATGTCAGAAAATGTGGCAAAGAGGCTGCGGAGCTGGAGGAGATGATCTTGAAGTGTCACCACTGTGGGAAGCCGTATAGATCGAAGGCTGGACTTGCGTATCACCTGAGGTCAGAGCATGGGCCTGTGAGTACTGATTACTTTCCAGACCCTGTTTGGGGATATATTCTGTGGTAGCTCTTTAGCCCTACATCTTTCCATATATTCTTGATTCCTCCTTTGTATCCTCATTTAATTATGAATGCTTTTGTTCTCTTTTCCTTGTTCTTCCTTTGTTCTCTTATTTCTGCCTTTGAATAGTCTTAGCTTAGAGAAATCAAAGTTCATTGTACTGTCTAGGCAGAAGTAAACACATTATTATTTTTTAAAGCTTAAGGCATTCTGAATCCCTTAGCTAGAAATTTGTGGGAATCTGTCTGGCTGTTTTCTGTATTCCAATTTATTTGTCTTGACTTTTTTTCTGATTACATTTCTACATTCCCCTCACCTCATGTTTGTTTTAAGAGTTACGTTTCAAGATATAATTTACATATGGCAATTAATAATCACCCTTTTGGTGTACAGTTATAAAAGTTTTGTCAACTTCATAATAGTCATGTAACCACCACCATAATCAAGATATAGAACAATTTGATAATCTCCCCCAAATTACCTTATGTCTCTTTGTAATCAGTTCTTCTCACCATTCCCAACCCCTGGCAACCACTGATCTATTTTCTGTCTTTATAGTTTTGCCTGTTTTAGAATATCATGTAAATGGAATCATGCAGTATGCAAACTTTTGAGTCTGGCTAATTTCACTTAGCATAATGCATTTGAGATTCATTTATATGTTGGCATGTATCATTAGTTTATTCCTTTTAATTTGTATCTAGGATTCCATTATATGGATGTCTCACAATTTGTTTATCCATTTACCAGTAGAAAAATGTTTGGTTATTTCCATTTGTGGGTAATTATGAATAAAGATGCTATAAACATTTACTTAAAAGTTATTGTATGAGCTGTGGCTGGTGTGGCTCAGTAGTTTGAGTGTTGTCCCATTCACCAAGATTGCCGATTCAATTCCCCGTCAGGGCACATACTTGGGTTGTAGGCTTGGTACCCGGTGGGGGGAGTGTAGGAGGTAGCCTATAGATATTTCTCTCTCTCCCTTTTCCCCTCCCTCTAAAATCAATAAAAACAAAAACAAAAAAAGTTATTGTATGACACTGTTGGTGGGAATGCAAACTGGTGCAGCCATTATGGAAAACAGTATGGAGTTTCCTCAAAAAATTAAATATGGAACTGCCATTTGACCTAGTGATCCCACTTCTAGGAATATATCCTAAGAGTTCTGAAACACCAATCAGAAAGACTATACACACCCCTATATTCATAGCAGTGAAATTTACAATAGCTAAGATCTGGAAACAGCCTAAATGCCCATCAGTAGATGAGTGGATAAAAAAGCTATTGTACATTTACACCATGGAATACTATGCAGCAGTAAAAAAGAAGGATCTCTTACCCTTTGAGACAGCATGGAGGGACCTGGAGAGTATTATGCTAAGTGAAATAAGTCAGTCAGAGAAAGATAATATTACATGATCTTACTCATGTGGAATCAAATGAACAAAATAAACTGATGAACAAAATAGATCCAGAGACATAGAAGCATGGAACAGAGGGGAGGCGGGGGAGGGTGGGTTTGAAGAACGTGTATGCATGTATGCATAATCCATGGATACAGACAATAGGGTGGTGAAGGCCTGGGGGGTGGGGTGGGGTAGGACTAGAAGGGGTGAATAGGAGGAAAAAGAGGACATATGTAATAATTTCAACAATAAAGTTTTTTAAAAAGTTACTGTATGAAAATAAGTTTTAACTTTTCTTGGGTAAATACTTAGGAATGGGATTACTAGGTCATATGATAAATGTATGTTTAACTTTATAAGAAACTTCCAAATTGTTTTCCAAAGTGGCTATGCCATTTTGTCTTCTCACCAGCAAAGGATGAGAATTCCAGTTGCTTTGCATCCTCCTCAGCACTTGCAATTGTCAGTTTCATTTAAAAAATCCATTCTGAGGTATGTAGTGGTATTTTACTGTGGTTTACTTTTGCATTTCCCTGATTTAATGATGTTGATTATCTTTTCATGTACTTATTGGCAATGTCAATCTTTAGTGAAGTGTCTTCATTTGTGAAGTGTCTGTTAAAATCCTTTGTTCATTTTATTATTGGAGTTTTTGTTGTCTTACTATTAAGTTTTGATCATATTCAGAATTTTTTACATATTCTGGACACAAGTCCTTTATCAGATGTGTTTTGAAAATATTTTCACCCATTCTGTAGCATCTTTTCATATTTTATAGTGTTCTTCAAAGAGCAGATTTCTTAATTTTGATCAAATACAATTTATTTTTTTTTCTTTTATGGATAATGCTTTTGTTTTTGTATCTAAGATATTTTTGCCCAACCCAATGTATAATTTTCTGTTGCTGCTGTAAAAAATATCACCACAAACTAATGGCTTAAACAATACAGCTATATTCTCTCACAGTTCATTAGGCCAGGAGTCCAGGTACAGTTGGTTCAGCTGGCTCCCCCGTGTAGAGCCTCGCCAGGTTGGAATCAGTTTCATTAGGGCCATTCCTTTCTGAGGCTTGAGGGGGAAATCTGTTTCTAGGCTCCTTAAGGTTGTTTAAGAATTCCATCCCATGCAGTTGTAGGACCCCATTTCCTTGCTTGCTGTAGGCCAGGAGTTGTTCTCAGCTCTAAAGGCCACCTACATTCCCTGGCTCATGGACCCTTCATTTTCAACAACAGTATTGAGTTTATCGCATTCTTTGAATCTCTCTTGCTTCTTCTTCTGTCACATCTCTCTTACTTAAAGTCAACTGATTATGGACTTTAATTAGATCTATAAAATACTTTCACATCAGCACCTAGATTAGTATTTGAATAACTGATGACTGCAGCCTAGCCAAGTTGACACATCAATAAACCATCAGACCCCTAATATGATACTGTATGCTAATTGTAACTGAAAAATACATTTAACAAAATTATACTTAGGATCACCAAAAATTTATCCCTTGGTTTCTCCTAGAAGTTTTGTTGTTTTATGGTTTACACAGGGCTCTTATCCATTTTGAGTTAATTTTTGTATATAATGTGAGGTAAAATGTACATTAAGATGGTGGAGCTTTATGATAGTGATTACAATATAATAATAGCTCTTTTGCTATTGAGAGCAGAAAGGACGGCCTTTAATCACCTCTTATGGAAGACACTTCTCAGGCTTGTGTTTTGCTATGTTTCGTTTTGCAGGTCTTTCCAGGGTCAGGACAGCCAGAGTGCTTAAAAGAGATGAGCCTGGAGCCAAAGAGTGGGGGCAGAGTTCAGAGGCGTTCTGCCAAGATAGCTGTGTACCACCTGCAGGAGCTGGCCTCTGTGGAACTGGCCAAGGAATGGCCTAAGAGGAAGGTTCTTCAGGATCTGATACCTGATGACCGGAAGGTAAGGTAGAAACTGTATTACTTTTGAAGGAGTATGTCTGATACTATGCTTGTTACATACAGAAGAGTAAATGCACCTGAGTGAGTGTACGATAAACAATGCTTTGCTTCTTTTTTAAAATTTTATTTTTTAATCCTCAGCCAGGGATATTTTTTCATTGATTTTTAGAGAGAGTGGAAGTGAGAAGGAAAGACAGAGAAAAATATTGATGTGAGAGAAATTGATTGGTTGCCTCCTGCACGAGCCCTGACCAGGGCCGGGGCTGCGGAGGAGCCTTCAACCAAGGTATGTGCCCTTGACCGGAATTGAATCCGGAACCCTTTGGTCTGCAGGCTGATGCTCTATCCACTGAGCCAAAACTGGCTAGGGCATATTTTGCTTCTTTATCCTTGGAGATGAAGTACATCTGATCCAGCTCCAGTGTTTCGGATCATGTAGGTCTTAGAGAAACAGTATGTTTCAGAAGCTCCTTTAAGGAGCCTCTTAGTTTTGGACCATTCCCATGGGTACCTAAATTCAAAAATTAGTTTTTGCTTGGTCCTTGCCTAATGTGTTTCCACTTTGTTAGTTCATATGTAGTAGTTTATATTTAACTGAGGTAAATGCTAAACACTTGATTAGGGTGTGTTGTCCAGTTTTTTCCATGGCAAAATTACAATTTTCCCCTTTCTAATTAGTGAATATTTTGTGGAGAGATTAAGACTACATAACTAACCTGTGTTTTATCATACTTCTACCCACTTACTTTAGCATCCATCAGTGATTCATGATTGCAGCAATTATTACTGTGGTGTTTGCTTAATGATTTTTTTTGTTTGTTTCCATCATTTCTTCTACAATTATTAAGAGACAGCTCTGTCTTTCTAATTTGTTTTATATGAGTATAGACTCATGGGTATTTATTTTATTCAATGGCCTATGTTTCAATGCTATTATTATTTATTTTGCTGCTCAAATTGTCCCAGATTTGGCCATCAAAAGCTCTTTTTAACATTCCCCTATCATTTTTTAAAAAAAATATATTTTATTGATTTTTTACAGAGAGGAAGGGAGAGAGATAGAGAGTTAGAAACATCGATGAGAGAGAAACATCGATCAGCTGCCTCCTGCACATCTCCTATTGGGGATGTGCCCGCAACCCAGGTACATGCCCTTGACCGGAATCGAACCTGGGACCTTTCAGTCTGCAGGCCGACGCTCTATCCATTGAGCCAAACCGGTTTCGGCACCCCTATCATTTTAAAAAAATATATTTTTATTGATTTCAGAGAAGAAGGAAGAGGGAGAGATAGAAACATCAATGATGAGAAAGAGTCATTGATTGGCTGCCTTCTGCCCCCCCCCCCCCCCCCCCCCCCCGAGGATTGAGCCTGCAACTGAGATATGTACCCTGACCAGAATCAGACTTGGGACCCTTTGGTCTGCGGGCTGATACTCTATCCCCTGAGCCAGACTGGGTAGGGTAGTTTCAGGCACTTTAAAGGGTCTTACATATTACAATTTTACTTTTTTTTATATGAAGATATACTTGTGGAACTCCAGAATTACATAACCTGAAGAGTTGGGTTGAAACTTTTGGGGTGTTTTGGAAGTTGGATTCTTCCAATAAAATCTTTCTTATCTTGTAGTTAAAATACACTCGCCCTGGGCTACCTACCTTCAGCCAGGAAGTACTACATAAATGGAAGTCAGATATCAAGAAGTACCATCGTATTGAGTGTCCTAACCAGGTGATTCTTTCTCATTCATTTATTCAATAAATGTTTATCAGGCATCTGCTGTTGTTTCAGTTATTTATTCCTTTGTGACAAAGCCCCTGAACCTAAGCGACTTCACATCAATTATTTTATTGTTCACAATTCTGTAGTAATTTTGTCAGGGCCCGGGGTAGTTTTCCTGCTGTACATGGCATCAGCTAAGATCACTCATAGGTTGCATTCAGCTGGAAACTCAGATGGGATCTGAATGTCCAAGATGGCTTCTATGCAGCTAATTGATCTGGAGCTTGGCTCTCCACATGGCCTATCTCTCTAGCAGGTAGTTAGATTACCAGCAGAGTACATATTCTAAGAATATGAAAGTGGAAGCTGAAGATCTCTTAAGACCTAGTTGCAGAATTTGTTCAGCATCTCTCCATGGCATTCTATTGGTCAAAGGAATCACAGTGCTAACCCAGATTCAAGGAGAGGATAAACAGACTCCACTTTTTGATGGGAAGAGTGGCAGAGAATTTCCAGCCATCTTTAACTTACCTATATATACAGTACTTTGCAGAGGAGTAGATATATAAGAAATAGAAGACATATTTGTACTAAAGAAAGCAGATTTTTTTTAACAAAATCTGTGTAATTTTCTATGTTTAAGTATCAGAAAAAGTATCAGGGAAGGGAATATGCTAAGCTTTTGTAAACCACTTGTTTACCTCTTTATCTTTTTATTTTTACCTTTTGTTGGTTTTCCTTCTTGCTTTTGTGGCTTGCATGTGAATTCTTTTCCTGTTTGGTTGTGGTACAAATGTAAGGTTGGTCATAGTCAACAACCAGATTGCTGAGAGAAGGATGCTCTTGTATAGTCCTCACATTGTTTTTTCTTCTTTTTTTCAGGGTTGTGAGGCTGTCTACAGTAGTGTATCTGGCCTTAAAGCTCACCTGGGCTCTTGTACTTTGGTTTGTAACTTTATGAACTATTTATCTTTTTTTTTTTAAATTAAATCTTTATTGTTCAGATTATTACAGGTGTTCCTCTTTTTTTCCCCCCATAGCTCT